ACAATTATAGTTCAAAGTAAATTTTAACAGTAAGTGTTTAATTTTATATATTTTTTATACTACAACCATTAATCAGTTTAAACTTTGTTTATTATTTTTGTTCCCAAAAGGTTATAATATAAAATATTATAATAAAATATAATATATGTAAATATAATATAAACAATTAAAAATATTAATCTAACATTCTGAAAACCATCTTCGCTTTTTAAAAACTATTTTTCAGCTTACATGATTATTCCGCTGTAAATATATATTAAACATTTAGGGTTGGTCTTTTCACAACCGGTTGAAGATGTATTAGCAATAAATATAAATATTCATTGTATGGTTAGAAAACTAAAAATACATCCATTACAGAAATAATTTTAATGTTTTCATATTTAAAAAAAAAATAATGATCTATTAAGAGACATATTTAACGATCATTACTTAGCAACAGTTCTAAGGGTAATTACTGAAGACAATCCTTCTCCTTGTATCGAAAAATGAGTAGCAGAGAACAGATGCTTCTTAATAAAATAAAAACATTACAATTGTTATGATTTTATTATTATTTTTATTCAAAATATTGATAAATACATCAAACGATTTAGATCATCTCAAATGTGTGGTATAGAGAACCATATAAGACATATAACATCTGTTTACATATTTTTTCATTCTATACATAATTTCGAAAGGTAATGCTAATTTTTTCGAACTACATCAGTTTATTTTTCAAAATTATGACTGCATTTCATTTGACTTTGACGTCCCTACTTTGATATATCACTTCCTTACTTATTGTTTCTTAAATCAACGACTTAAATTGAAAAACCCATTTCATATAACTTGAGTTTTTAAATAATATGCAAAAAGAATATAAAAACCTGGGTTTCCACCATTCCAGTATAGGCTAAAATATTATTGTATTTTTTGACCCGAACTTAAACACATTTTTTTAACCGATTTCTGGATACAAACTGGCTTTGTAGCCACATAGCTGGGCTTACACCACTCCAGTATACACTAAGAGATTAATACATTTTTGGACAATTTTTTGGATACAAACTTCGTTGCATTTTTTAACAGATTTCAGGATACGAACTTGCTTTGTAGCCAAAACGCTAGGTTTACACTACTCCAGTATAGACTAAAATGGATGAATGGATTTTTGGGCTCGAAAATACTTGCATTTTTTAAGCTAAAACATTGTTGCATTTTTGGACGGATTTTTTGACCCAAACTTACTTACATTTTTTTAACATATGTTTGGACACGAACTTGTTTCATAGCTAAAAACTGTGCTTACACTTCTTAGCCTCTTGTTTCTATTCATGGTAATATGGTAGTTGCAGACTCAACAAGTCTCAACTATCTCATAAGATACAATCCCGAGTTAAAACAGCTAGCTGAAGTTGATACAATCAACAAATTTATGAAAAAGCAGCGATTAAGATGGGTTGGACATATGTTAAAAATGCCGGATATGAGAGTACCGCTTAAGTTTTATGAGAACAAAGTAGGAACCAGCAGAAGAAGAGGGCGACAAAGAAAACGATGGAAGGACAGTGTGCAGCAGGATTTAGAAGAAATGAACATAAGAATTTGGAAAACAAAAAATCAGAGAAGAAAGAAAGGATGTTGTTAAACAGATAATGATGATTTTTACTTGGCTATCCGAATTAGAGAGTTATATTTTGTATTATTCATATTCACCGTGATCAAATAAAGAATAACAAAACCTTTATCAACCTCATACTAATACTATTAACATATAGTATACTATTAGTATATATGTAATAGTATATATAGTTTTATTAGAGAGTGTTATCAGCTATATACCATAGCATAATAATCACAAACTATATGTTAGGTATATGAAATGTGCAACACTGGTTTAAGGTATTCTAATATTTTAAAAGATATATCGGAATCATCTCAAATAAATCAAACAAGACTCGATATACTATTTCATTAGTTGATTTAATTACTAGTAGGTGAATTACTATATGCGATGATAATATTTTAAATATTTAACCTTGATTTAAATAAATTAATAAATTGTAATTAATTTTTAATACTGTCAAGTACAGTTCAGTGCAATTATCTATCAAATATCAATATTAGTTGAAGAGGTGTAATCACTAAATCAAATATGATTGAGTTTGCTCTTTAGATGATATACTCATATCGCATTTATAAGCTTTTCACATTCATTAAGATTCACTTATTTATTGAAATTCATTAATTGAAAGCATTTATGCTTCAATAAGTAACATTTTCACAATCCAACATTTAAACTGAATGTTGCAATATTTTTTGAATTAAAAGCGTAAATGCCACGCCACGCCACTCATTTCGGCTGAAGCAGTTTGAATTTTGCATGAGTAGCGTTTGAATGCGTGCGAAGGAAAGTGATCAGCCAGGCCGGGCCAGTTCACCGCTAATGAAGTTGGTTCAAAAAAGTTATTGCTTTCGAATAAAAGTAATCGCGAGGAAGACCGTAAATACCGAATCAATTAAATAAATAAAAAAAAGTGGTTTTTGAAAAGACATTGAAATTGATATTAAATGTTATGCAATTGCAAAAGAGACATTTAAACCGATCACATTTTCAAAATTGTTATGCAACAATTAATTGAAAGCCACTCGGAATACGCAAGTTTTGTATTAAAATTTAATTAAAAGTATTAAATATTATTTAACAAAGAAAAAAACTTTTTCAATTTTTAAATTAGTCCATTATATTTTCAAGTCCTCAGTCATCATCATCGATTATTTAATCACACATTTGAAAATTCTCTAACAATTGATAGACGTAACCTCACAAAAAATAATCCAATGATGAAAACCACATGACTTTAGTGAACAATTCTCCTTACCAAAACATGATACCACACCTTTGGTAAATTCCATGCACAACATAATCAAAACGACGCATGGTTTTTGGCACTGTCCTGTGGAAACCATATACCATTTACATCCATATTTTGGCACGATTCCGATTTTCGGGACAAGCCTATTTGACAATCTATTTTAATAAAAACAGCTATTTTAAATAACTTATTCCTATGCACTCTATGTCAATATAGCTTTGTTTTCGAGATATAGAGCGTTAAAGTTGAACATTTTTATATTAAAATTATTAACAATAAGAACACACGCCATCTAGCGCATCTTTTTGTTATTTATTGCTTTTGTAATCAATGTTTACAATCAAGTTTTTGTAAATGGAATCCATGTAACAACTATTAACATCGATATTCTGAAAAGTAAACAATGATATATTCTAAAGAGATCAAAGGTGTAGATCCCCACAAATCCCCAATTCACACAACTATTTAAGGCTTAGAGTGTTGAAACTATCCAGCACAATACATAACAATTCTAACTATTCTTTAGCTCTGCTTAGAAGAATTTAAACAGATGAAAGAATACTTTTAAATAGTCATGCTGAGATACTTTAAACAAAATGAGGTGCTACAATAAAAATGATATAGATTGTCAGGTTTTCTCAGTAAGGATCAAATATAACTGGTGCTTACTGTTACAGAGTCTATTAAATCGCAGTTTACAATTTAATTTTTCTTTTGTTCTCATTAGTTTAAATTTTAGTATCAAATTCAAGCTTTTCTGTCTCTTTAACGTTTAGCCTGCGAATACGTTGAAGAACCTATTAGTTTGGGTTTATTACGTATTGGTGAACACGTCGAAGAATCTGTTGGTTCGGGTTTATTCCATATTGGTGAATACGTGGAAGAATCAATTAGTTTTGGTGTATTCCGTATTGGTGAATACGTGGAAGAACCTATTGGTTCTGGTGTTTTCCATATTGGTGAATACATGGAGGAATCTTACGAATGTACAAGACAATAATAAGGTAGACAATAAGGTAGCTGCATATGGCTCAGAAACATGGACAATGACGAAGGCGGACGAAGAAGCTTTAAAAATCAAAATTGATGCAGAAACTTTTCAAAGACAAAGAAATAATGAAATTGAAGAACTGCTTAGAAACGAAATTATAGTGAGATACTCATGTTTTGCTCATGTAATAAGAATGGGGTCGGAGAGAAAGTCGAACAGCATATTTGACGCAAACCCGATGACAAACAGGCACAGAGGTATGCCAAGAACGATTGGAATACTGAACTGGAAGAGAGTAGCAGAAGATAGGGACAGATGGAGGCAGATCGTGAGCGAGGCCAAGGTTCATACTGGACTGTAGTGCCAAATAAGAAGAAGAAGACATCGAGGAATTGGTTTTTTCCGAATAGGTGAATATGTCGAAAAACACATTGGTTCTGCTGTATTCCGTAATGATGAGTACGTCGAAGTTTATTTGGTTTTACTAATTCTATAGCTTCTGTAAGCTTCTTTCAACTAATTAGCGCGAGTTAAAATATATGAATGTCATAACGAATGTCTTGGTAATCTTCAATTCATAATAAGTCAATATTTGTGGTTTCTTCAGGAAATATTTTGAGATACCTTTTTATGGGTATTAATATGCTAACAGCGCATTTGTTGCAGAATGAATACGTGCTGCCATAAAAGTTCTGATGTTTTTTTAGTTCGAAAAGTTTTAAAAGAATAAAAATAAGATATTTAACAGCAACAACAAAAAAAGCGGTAAAAAATTAACCGCTTTTTTATGCAGTGACAGCGCAGGCGTGCCTCAAATTTCAAGTGATTTTTAAATGAATTCTGTTAAAATACTTAAAATGCGCAGAATTTTATTGAAAGAATGAATTGCAAGCAATTTTTAACTTTTTCAAAAGTCTTGAAACAAAGGAACTCAAATTAAAGATCGTTGACATTTAAGTCTACACAATGTCTTTCAAAAATAACAATTTTCAAACCTAATTTTTGGTTGACGCAATTGTTATAAAAATTACCGAAAAATAGGTGTGCACAAATTAAGTCTTTTTTATTGCATAAAATTAAATAAAAATAACACTCTAAAAAAAAGCTTTATTGGAATTTAAATAATATTGTTTTTCACTCTATTTTTTTCTTTCAGCCGTAAATTAAGGGCCACAAACATGAAAAAGGCCAAACGATGGCTTCTACCGATAGCAGGTGAGTTGCTTTAAAATAAATTAACAATTGTTCAGTTGTTAATTTAGGTATTCAATTGTGTTCAATTGTTCTTAGTTGATTTGAACTTAAGCACAAATTAAAATATATTAGAATATTTATTCCCAATTCTAATTTTTAGTTTCTAAAAATTACGAGTATCTGTCTAATAAATTAGAATTAGACTCTAGAATCTAATGTTAGAATCTAAGATCTTTTGGACTACAAACCCCATTTCAAATTACAAAGGTTTTTGAGGTCAACCTCATAAAATAATTAATTTTCAATCAATGATCAAAACTATTGAATCATATCTTCCCGTGTATACTCTAAACTTCTTTTTAAGGCTTTCAAAACCAATATCAATTTAATCTAAGTTAGGTTAGATTAATCAGTCCGGTCATAAGCCATACATAGATCATTGAAACTCTAGCAACATCAAATGAAGAAAGACCTTTATGTAAATTTGTAGTAGGCATTATGTAGAATGTCGACGACATTAGTTAGGATATTGTTAATCTATGTCATAAGCCATATATAGATCTTTAAGACTCTAACAACATCAAATGAGCAAAGACCTTTGCGTAAAGTAGGTATTTAAGGAGTAATCTTAAATTCAGAACAAACGTCGACCTACTACATAATAACATACATAATACTACAAACCTACTGCTACTACCTACTACTTTTTGTAAAGGCGTTGCTACAGTCTAAAAGATTTATGTATGTCATAAGCTATACATCGATCTTTTAGACTGTAGCAACATCAGATGAAGAAACGCCTTTACATAAACTAATAGACAGTTGCAGTAGTTTTATGTATGATGTCGACACTTGTTGTGAATCTAAAAAGTAATTGAAATTCCTTTTTAGAGACATACAACATCTTCTCAAAGTATATAGCCCTTAACCATTTTAATAATATGCGCGACTTAAACAAAAAAAAAATGTCACAGGCTCTTTTTTCTCCAGCTGTTTTGCATTCCCCGTATTTATCACTATTGATAATTTCCATCTTATATGTGTAGGATAGGTTAGGTTATACCGGCGATCACTAGTGGAACCACTTAGGGTCATTGGCCCATTGTGTTACCGTATGTATAGGAAAACTCAGGGTTTAAAACCACCTAGAACCTTAGACGAAGCTCAAATGCTGTTTACTGTCAGGTCTTGTAATTGATCAAGATACTCAATAAAGAGGGCTCTTAAAGTGTTGAGTCGCCATCGTGCATGAACTAGGCAAAGACAGAGTAGATGCGAGGTATTCTCAACGTCTTCCGCACAACTGCAACAATACTTTATTGTTGCTTTATTATTATTGGCATTTATTAATATCAGACCAACCAAAATTTTAAATGACAAAAATAAATGCCTAATCCGTGCTAACCACTAACAAGTGGTAGCTACTTCTGGTACTATCAAATCTACCAACAATAAACTTGCAAGTGTGAAGACGTGTAGTATTATTGTGTTGTTCGTCTCTAAATTGAATACGCAAAGTCACTACAGAAATTGATAGTGATAAACTCTGAAGAAAGATACATTAGAATCGAGTAGCAACTTTTCTTAATTTAACTAAAGATGGTCTCCACTTACTTACGTCAACCATTATATCATTGTTTGTTTGGCACTCAGTGGCATTTACAGAGACTCACGGAAGGATGACTCTTTGAAAACTAATACAAAGTTCATATGAAGTTCATGTGATCTATTATATCTAGTGTAAAATATTTTAGAAGAGTTTGAACCCCAAAACCGGCCTTCCATACGTCACTTATTATTATTATAAGAAACGATAATAGTAGTGTACGGTGATCTATACGACTTGTTATCTGTTTAGGGGTGTTTGAATGCATAGATTCTATTATATCTAGGGTAAAATATTTCAACATATTTGGTAGAAATTTGAACCCCAAAACCGATCGTTTATACGCCATTTATTATTATTATAAGAAACGATAATAGTAGTGTACGGTGATCTATAAGACTTATTATCCGTTTAGAGGGGTTCCTTTCCTTATATATGGAATTGATTATTATTATTAGAAAGGAAAATGCTGCACTGCTGCCTATAAGACTTATTGCGCTAAAGGTTCTGATGCTACTGTTTGGATCTCTTTGAAAAATAAATTTAGTTTTTAGAAGATTTCTATTTTGTGATAGAATAATAAAAATATTTAAGTAATTAATTAAAATCTTAAATGATTGCTATTTTAAAAAAATAATCAAACTTTAATATTAGTTAATTAGTTCATACAGTTTTTTAATTGTTAACTAAATATTTGAAAATAATATCTAAATAGCCAGTTATCTATTTTCGAATAGAAAAATCGTTTATTATGAAGAATAATTTGGATTTATATAAATTTATTCAGTGATTGGTATTGGCCCGCGATTGCATTTGGTCTGAACAGCCCTGATCTATATTATCTTTTTAAAAAGTTGTTGTTGTTTTGGAATCCATCTTTTTATAAATTCTATCAAATGATTCGTGTGATATCCAGGTATTATCATTACTTAAATTATCAATTATATTATTAGTCCGATCTGTTAAATTAAAGCTGAAGTATTCAATTTATTTTTTTTTTTAAATTGTATTAAATATTTTCTGCAAACATAATGAAATATGTCTACTTCTATTAACCTTGAATACGGCGATTTAATTAATTTTTTTTGTTTAATTTAAATAAATTATTGGAACCCATAAAAAATTTCTATTTATTTTATGAAAATCAATTAATATTATTTTTTATTTGTTATTAAACTTTTTTTCTTACAGCTTTGTTGGCGGTGTTAGTCACAGAAACCGACGCAGTGGCACCGTTTAAAAAGGTTTCCATTGGTACAACAACAACAACGACATCGACTACGACTACAACCACAACAGAAGCGCCAGCAATTGAAAGTGATGATGGAAAGGTAATTAATAATTTTTTAAATGTAAAGTAAATAATGACTTTATCAGCATTTTTATAAAAATGTGTAAATTTTTAAACTGTATAAGTATAATACAATAAAGAATAATAATATAATAATAATGAGAACTTCATTTAAAAATAATGAGAAGACAATTCAATAGAGGCAAAGACCAGAACCGAGTATAGTTCAGAATCATTATGTTACTATTAACCGTGAAATTTAAAAATTTTTGATTGACATGTACGCAGATCTTAGATCAGTCACTGAATAATCACGAAGCTTATGAGAATTACATAAATTAGTCAGTGAGATGGGTGGGACTCTGCAGAAACCGCCCATTAGTAGTAGACTTAATATAATTATAAATATTTAAAATAAATATATCAAGGAATAAACAAGAATAAAATATTAAAAGAAAAATAATTATTATTCAATATTACTTATATTTTTTATTAATTATTATAAATATCAAATAATATCAATATATCAATATTACTGAAATAAATCGTTTTTTGTATGTACACTTATTATAAAAAATAAATTAAAATTTAATAATATCAATATTTTAAATAAAAATAATTTTCTTAAAATATTCTTCTTTACATATATAGGGCAGTTTAGGCCCTCAAATGCTTTCTTAAGTACTCGAACATTTACAATTACTTTTACTATGTAACAATTAATATATATATAACATATATAAATTCCCAATTTGTATTAAAACTTGTTCCATTTACTTACTTAACCTAATATGGTGAAGTACTTAAATGGCTCAGCGAAGTAACTCATTCATATACCTATCCGTATTAACGAGAGGCGAAAGTAACTATAAAATTTCTTAAAAAATTCTGGTCACGAAGTTTCGAGAATGTACAGAACAAAATAGACTTAAGTCGATGTGTCATGTGTCAACGACTTTTACACTTTTCATTTATTCTAAATATATTACTGAAATTATATAAATTCTTTAACTAATAAATATATTAATTAATGTCAATTTCCATTAAGAACAGCATTTTAATATTTTTATTATAATTTTACTTTCAGGCCAACAATTCATCAACACCAACCAAGAATTCAAAACTGACGGGAATACCACAAATTGATTACATATGGGATCCAAATTTACCACGTGAATTAAGAGGGTAAGATTTATATTTAATAATCACTATATTCTATTGCTTAAAATAACATAATAATAATACAAAATTATATAGGCATATTTTGAATCCAGAGATAAAATTATTTTTGTTAAGCGTCTGAATAATTTGTTAGCTATAATTTATTACTATATATTAACTATTCAAAACTAAAATAAAAACTATAAAAATAGTAGCAGAAATACTACTGGTCATGATCTAACTTACTTTCAATACGCTCTCAATAGTAATCGCTCATTTCAACATTAGTTTCTAGAACTATTTTATCTATAGCTAAAAATACTACCAGCTATTGTCAAAATACACTCTGGGTAACTCTGGGGTACGTTTTTCAAACGAGATCCACTTTTAATGCAATCTTTATTTTCGTTTAGTAAATCTCGAGTAAAATTTGTAACACTAGATATTGTTTCAGAGTAGCAAGGTTACTTTGAAATTAACAGCTGTTTTATATAACTTGACAAATAAATGGTGATTTGATACGATATATCTATGAAAAATATAAATATCTACTATTATTACTATAAAAATATTAAATTACTCTAAAAACATTAATTTGGGCACTAAAATTTAACAGATCGAGAATAAACCGAGATCGAATCCAGATTTACCAATTCTAATTTTAATCAATTAAAATCGTTCATTATTACTTCTTCTTCTTTATTTGCCAATTCGATTTCGAATATTGGTGATCATATTACATAATAATATATTGTTTAATTCGCTTTTGTTAAAAACAATTACAAATTTTTTACTATTTCTGCGTATTGCTCTCTGCATCTAGCTACATTTATAAGGCTGCCAACCTCTTGTTTTTGGGTCCATTGGATCCACAGCAATGAAAATTGATATTGATATATCGCGTTTGTCTTCGATTTTTCCCTGAATAATCAGTTTTTCTTCTTTTTATAGTTATTAACAATTCGCTAGCACATCTCATTTTTCGTAATACTGCATTATTTGTAACATGATCTGTCCATTGAATTTTGAGATTTCTCCGAAAAATCCATAACTCAAATGCTTCGAGCCTTTTAATATCAGCAATTTTTAAAGTTCCGATTTCCATGGCGTATAGAAATATAGACCAGACATAGCATTTTACAAAAGGGTTTTTAGTTTTAATATTGAGATCATGACTGTTAAGAACTTTTTTGTTTCTAAGAAAAGTGTTACCTGCTATTTCTATTCGGCATTTGATCTTGTTGGAACAATTCCAATTTTCATTTATATATCATCCAAGATATTTAAAATTATATACTCTTTTATTATTGATTACGGTAAAAAGTAAAAGCAAATGAGATAAATTAATTTTTGAATAATGATCGAATTTAGACTCCAATTTTTGATTTTGATAATATTAAAGTTTCTAGATCTGGGAATGTAGTTGAATATTCATCTGAAGTAGAGACTATACACTATGCTTAAAGAAAGTTTTTCGAACATAAAATGCTTAGTTATTGTTCCAACAATCTTTAATTCATTGAAGAACAAATAGTTTCTTTATAAATGCTGTGACTAATCTTCAATATCCTATCTACCCGTGTTTGATTACAAATCAGAAATACATATTTCACTTTCATTAGTTATTATGTTTTTTCGCTAAATTATTAGTTTATTAAAGGTTTAGTCAGTAGCGTCCACTGGGTTCTCGCAAAAAGTTACAGGGTTCCGACTGTGGATTCTAAGCACTTAATAAATATTTTGAACAATTTGGTTCACCATATTCGAAGTATTCCCGAATGTTTATATAGTAACTAGATTCATGTTCACAGTTCCAGTCAGTATAGCTTCGACGGAAAGAAGCTTCTCAAAGTTAAAATTGATTAAGACGTACTAGAAAAGTATGATGATCCAAGAAAGACTATCTCCATTGGAAATTCTATAAACTGAACCAAAAATAGCAGGTGGCGCAAATTATGATTTAATTGAAAAAAAAAATTAAGTGAGGCTAAAAGTAGGAAAATTGATTTATTTTAATTTGTGTTCATTTTAATTTGATTAGCAATAAAACTTTCAACAATGTAACTTGAAAGTTTCCAACTGGGTTATAAAGGGGGCCTCGCAATTCTGATGGCGCCGACGTGCAGAGTTGGTGTAGCTCCGCCACTGGGTTTAGTCATTCAATTTCGAATTTGAGCTCTATTGTTTTTAGGACTCCACTGTTCCACGTTACAAACAATTTGACAAGCCAGATAAACCAATTGGTTATGAAAGTAAAAATATTTGTATATCACATATAAAATCTGTTTGGTCATGGCTGAAGAACTATAAGTCATAATTTTTACTCAACTAGTCTGTACTAATCTATTTACTAATTTAGAGATTTAAAAATTATAACAATATATTTTAAAATTTGATATTATATATATATAAATAACATAATTTCATGAATTAATATTTTATTTTAATAATGTTTTTAGTTACAACCTATCAAGTTATCCGTTCTTTTCAACAGTTCCACCGGAAGAGGATATACATTTCAAATGTGATGGATTACACGATGGTTTCTATTCGTCTATAGAACACAAATGTCAGGTTAGTAAAAATTTCCGTATTTTATTCACTGTATATATGTATAGCAATATATAGCAATTCATACTTCAATTATTTTCCTTATGCGTCGTTAATTTTCCACAAATATTTATGGTTTGAGCTTTCAAGAGAGGCACCTCAAAATTATTCTTCCAGCAATGCTGCCGACACACGTTATTCAACCAAATTACTCGTGTGAATTGCGTTGTCAAGTCGATCTTGACCTCAAATTTTTTGTACTTTTTCGAGTATTATTTTTATTGTTACTGGTTTTGCTAATTTATAACATGTTTTCAAAACAAATATTATGACGATAGTGAATTTAAAAACTTTTGTATAATAATAGGTAATAAAAAATTTTAAATTTCTTAGTTATAATTCAAGATCATAAGGCGCTTGCATTAAACAATTCTTCGCATGAAATCGTCCAGATTTATGCATACTTAACTGCTACAGAATAGCGAATTAATGTTTATTATTATTTTAAATTCTTCCGGTGATTAATTTTGATATATTTAAATTAATTCGATTGTTTTATATTCTCTTTTAAGGTTTATCATCATTGTGTATATGGCATACGGCATGACTTCTTATGTGCCAACTTTACCGCATTTGACCAAAAGACTTTCATTTGTCACTTCGTTTCAGATGTTGACTGTGAAGGTTCCCAAAAATACTGGAACAGGTATTTTAAACAAAAACTTTGACATTTAAAACAAGTTAAATTAATTAACACATATTTTTGAAATACAGAAACGATGCTTTATACATGGCAACAACTACTACATCGACTACTACCACCACCACCGAACCACCGCCAACACCACGTAGGCGTCCAGCTGTGCGACCGCTTCGACCATTACGTCGTCCTGTAAATCGCAGACCTGTCGATGATTATTATTATGATACAGAGGAGTATGATGATGATTATTACGAAGAACGTATAAATCGTAGACGTAAGCAACGACCGCGTCAAAGACAACCGGTTTCTGATTATGAAGACGAGTATGATGAAAAACGTTCATTCAATGATAATAAACCAAGGTAATTATATTATATGTATATGTATAGAAAATAAACACAATAAAACTATATTTATATCTTTTAATAGACGTCCAAATTCAAGAGATCGAGTCCGGGATGCAGATGATTTAGATGAAGATTATGACACCACTCGCCGTAAACAGGATCGCTCAAAATCTCGTAATAAACCCACTGTCGCGCAAGATAGACGTAAAAGTTCCTCACGAAAGCCAGCGCTTAATTCTGCACGTTCTGGCACTGATGAGCGACGTAGTTTTAATGATGACAAATACCCAACAAACAGAAGAAAAGACAAACCAAGTCCTACACCTGAAGAACATGAAGACACTGTAGACTTGCCTCCACGCCGTTTAACAGGTAGACGGCGGATAAACGAAAGGCGACCATCTCCAGCCTCCTCTGTTACATCTGATTTAGATGATCTCGATGATTATGAAAAACCACAACCTCCAGCAGCAGATCAAGAAAGTGCTGCTGAAGAAGAAGCGCCACCTAAAGTAAAAACAACCCCAAAGCCGTTAGAGGAATTTATTACACCAAAAGCAGCTCCAGCATCTGTATTTTCAAGACCAAGAGCGCCACCGCGTATAGCTCGACCAGTGCCAGTAAATGAGAAGAAAAAATATGAATATCCTGTGCAAAAAACTGGAACTACCTCTAGCCCACCTGCTGCTCAAGAAGAGGAGGAATATTACGAAGACGAGCTATACGAAGATGTTCGCAAAGACCAACGTGAACAAAATCGTCGTCGAATTGCAGCAGATGATGTAGACCCACCAAATAACAGAAAACGTATCCAAAATGAATCACCAGTAGGTCGAAAGCCTTCAAGAAATTCTTTTAAAAAACCCATTACCACAGATACGAAAAGTGCTGCCACCGATGATGAATATGACATTCCAGATAGTTCTTCGAATGAACATTTAGAAAATCGTAATGGTGCCAGAAAACGTCCATATGCAAATCGTAACCGCAATACATATAATAAACAATCAGATCAGAGTGCAGATGATGTTGATTTTGTAGACGACGACTATGAAGAACGTCCGATTAGACCAGCTCATAGGCTTAGACCCAAAATATCGGCACGTAAGAATTTCAATAAACAACGTCAGCCAGTCGATGAAGTCGATGAGGAAGAACATTATGATTCAGATATTGATCGACCACTACGAAATCGTCCCGGTATTAATCAAGGTCGGCGAAAAAACATTTTAAATGGACGCCTACGACAGTCTACAACAACATCAACAACTGAACCGCCAATTGAAGAGCCAGAGCCAGAAGTAGAAGAAGAACCTGAGGTAACCGTTGCGCCAAGTAAATCTCCTACAACATCATCACCTGGAGGACGTCAACCATCGGTACGTGTTGTTAAGCGTCCATTCTTGCCTTCACGAGGTGGCAGTCCATACCTACCACGTGGTCTTCAACCTGTTGGTGTTGCACATAAATCATTGAATTCGCCTACAACTGATAGCACAACAATTGATATGGGTTCTACAATATCAGGTGTACATCTTTTAGAACATGGTGCACCTATATTGCGTGATTCTGGAAATAATCAGGAACCAGTGCAAAGTTCACGTACAACATTACCACCACGCAGTGCAATACCTACAGTGTCACAAGCTCGCCAAGAACCTCATCCGAAAGTCACATTGGATGAGCTTTATGAAAATGACTATGATGTCACTTTGAATGATGCGCTCAATCCAACGCTTAAGCCACTATCGCCGCATCAAAACCATCAAAATCGCAATTACCCAAGTGCGTTTGCTTCAGCCCCTGCCGCTAATACATTTGTTAATAACAATCAATCACCCGCTCTTTATCATAATAACAACAACTATCAGCAACATCAAAATGCATATATTTCTGCGCCTCATCAGTCTCAATCAAAATTTCATCATCAATTACAATATCACAACCAGCCACAACATTCTAATAATAATTTCAATAGTGATTCGTATTTTTCATCAACAGATATCCGAAGGCACGCGGTCATCCCGGCGGCGCCCGCGCATAGCACTCGAACGGACTACAGAGGCGTTGGTACAAGAATAGCGCAACACTTTTATGATGATATCGAATATTAGCAGTAAGTAATCCTTTTTTTTGTTGGATTTACTATAAAATGGGTTTCAAAGTAAACAATACTTTTAAAAAAAAATTGTTTGTGGTAATATTATATATTGGGGTGTAAATTGGGGTGTAAGGTTAATCATTCTCCGTACAAGCCAGATTTGGCACTGTGTGACTTTTGTCTTTTTAGGGATTTTTATTCATAATGATATTCTAAAAGACTGTCCTTTCCAATACAGCAACTCTGTTACTATTCGTTGAAACGGCATTCAATTTGGTAATCCATCAGAGATATGCTTTCAGTCGCATTTAATTACGAATAGATGACCTCTCGCCAAAAAACTATTTTTAAAATATCTTGTTTATGTTGGAACTCATTTTGTGTTTGTTATATTATAATCAGACTTTCACAAAATAATTTAATTTATAAGGAGGATTGAAAATATAAAAGCAAATAACAGGCAAACAACATTTTATAATGAATTGAATAGTTTTTTTTATAAAATTTACTGATATTAATTGATATTAATTTTTATTATACTAACTATATGTTTCTTTTTTTAAGGTCAACTCATCATATTTAAAAACTATGTGCGATTGGAACACCAAACTCAAGCCACTGTAACATCCAAACTAAAAAAGTTTACCAATGCTTATCCTGCGAAAATAACTGCAGATTATTAAGATTGGTATCCAGGATTTCAACAATATTCTTAGAAATAAATAATTTTTAGAAAATACTCAAATATCGTGATAGTAAGAGGCAAATATAAATATTTGTCTTTAAATTAAACTTAGTGTTTGTTATTTTTTGATTTAATTTTTTTTTTTTCGTTTTCTTTTAACGATACTATTTTAATTTTAAATTTAATAATTAAAAACCATTGATTTTTCTATTATTATTTTATTGCAAATTTTTAATTATGAAATTTTTATTTAAATATCACTAAACTGAAAACAAATTATTGCCTATAAATTATATAAATTTAAATTATACAATTTGAAATTAATTCTGCTGATGTACTTATAAATTAAACGTGTGTATTCACAATATATGCACGTGTTAATGAAAACTTAAAACTTAAGTTTAAAATAACAAAAAACAAAAAAATAAAATAATTTCAAACAAACAAATTAATTACATTTCTTAATCTATTTTATTCTGGTTCCTCAGTTTGATGTAAACATAATTTGATTGCCTCAGTCTCATCTTCTAGTACGTCCAATTTTTTCATTAAAATTATCTGTGGAAAAATGATTTATTATTTATTATATAAATTTAAATTATTTATTATATAAAACTGAATTTATATTTATGGTATATGCATCCTACCTTGGCAGCTGATATAATCTCTTTAGCAACCTTCAAAGGCATATGTTCAATAGATTTCACCAACTGTATTGGACGACATTTCGCAATATCCTCGATAGTTTTAAAACCAGCAGCATAAAATTGCTTTGCACGATTCTAAATAAAAAAATAATAATAAATTATTTTAAATGATTACAGTACAATATAAAAGTTTTAATGTATAAAATTGAAAAATAAATTATCATTAATTGTCACGTAAATAATTATTGGTATCATACATAAAATTCCAATTAAAAATTATATACAATAATAACTAAAATAAAAAAAAGTTATAAAGAATATAATTATTTAAAACTATTTATATAAATATATTTAAAATAAACAATTTATTAATATATTATAACATTATTATAAGTTATAAACGTATATTATAATAGTATAATAATATATTATAATAGTAGAATATAATATTATAGTATAATAAATTATTATAATAATATAATAAAATATTATAATAATATATTATATTATCATAATATATTATATTAAGTATAATAACATTAATCTATTAAAAATTAAAAAACTTAAGAAAAGTTAATAACTACAACAATAAACAAAATAAAATTACAATCTTAACAGCAGGCAGTTCCATTAGTGGTTCCAATTCAATTGTACCACAACGATCCATTTTTGCACCAATTCTCTCAAATAAAGGTTTGTAGCACCAAAATTCTTCCACCTGTTCACATAAACGTACTATTGCATTGGCAGCTGCTGTAGATTGGCTGACTAAATTTTGTAGCGAGCCGCGTTCAATATCAAATTTCGTAGCAATTGCAGGTATTGGCAATAAATTCAATATATCAATCAGTATTAGTACCTTAAACAATCTATTTAATTTTAACTCCATTTTTCCTTGTATTGAAAGAGTTTTTCTTATTTTAGCTGCGATTGCTTCTGTTAAACCTACAAGTTGGAATAGTTTTTGTGTTGTGTCATCTAGAGATGTGTACTCTCGAAATAGTATAGCTGCATTAGCTGCAAATAATTCATCGCCAGTTGCATTTGAATTAAAGCAAACAACTAAGTAAAGAAGGTGTGCATAGTTTGTTAAAATTAAATGTTTCTGTGCATTTTTTAATTCATAATAAATGTTATATGTTCGTTTGTAATCAATACCAGCTTTAAATGAAGCTTTACCAATAGTTGTCAACTGAAATTTTGTTGATTTGCCAATAAATAGACGACGTTCTTGTGTTGTTATACTTTTCATATCATTTCTTATATCTTGACTAATAATTATTGATGCTTGCTCACTCTTTTCCCTAGAGCAAATTTCTAGTACTCTGTTTTTGAACATCTCTCGTATCGAATTCATTACAAGAGCCTCTGTTTTTAGACCAAGTTGTTCAGCTTGTACAGCAAGTAACGTACTATTTAAAAGTTGATATAAATCACGACGACAATGTGCTAAGTTCAAACCTATTGAACTTACTATAAGACTCTAAAAAATATTCAAAATTACTAAAATAAACAAAATCTACATATAAGCTATTTACCTGAATACCTAAACCATCTATATTGTCTAAGGAACTAACAGCTTTATCCATTGGCGAAAATAACATTTCTCCAACACGAACATTATCTTGGCACGCACTTATGAGTATACTCTCACCAGCTTCACCCATACCCGCACGACCCGCTCGTCCAACCATTTGCTTATATTTACATAGAGTCATAAATTCAGCACCAATATAGGGGGCGCGAATTATTACACGTTTAGCTGGTAGATTAACACCTGCTGCCAAAGTGGACGTGCAGCAAATAACACTGATTACATTGAGTCTATATGCAGTTTCAATGAATTTGCGTTCATCTGTAGTCAGACCTGAATGATGATATGCAACACCAAACGGTATTGTTTTTGCTAAAACTGGACTTAATATGCCACATATTTTTTCAAGCGCATCCATCAGATCATTCTTTTCACTTTTTTGGTGCTCCAAAAATCTGGATCTATTTAAATTAATAAAATTTATTAAAGTATATCGGTGTGCAAGAGTATAAAAGATACTGACTTCGGTAAAATTTGTGTTAAGAGTAAAGCTACGTTTTCACAGTTTTTTCGTGTAGGACAAAATATTAAACAACAATGCTTAGGAGCACATTCCGTAACTAGCCCAGCTAAATGATCTGGATCACAACGAGCAACTGACTCAGTATACTGTAAAATAATTAAAATCTTATATTGTAAAATTGTAAATGTTATCTTGTTTTGAGTTCGAACCTTGAAATTAACACTTCTTTTAAAGGTAAAAACTTCTTCCAACGTTTTCCCAGCAGCATTAATTTGTAATATATCTCGACCACATTTTATGTATTCTTTTAGCTCTACAGGACGAAATCCTCTTGAATATACGTCAGCATTTAAAAATGTAGAAATTTCAGTTAGATTTCCTATAGTCGCACTCATTCCAACAACCTGTATTTTAGCTGTAACAAATATAACAAATTTTAAGTCAAATCAACGTTAACATATAATATTGTAATTCAGTTGGTAAGAAGTAAGCAACACTTGACCATCTAAAAAAACGATTGGCTCCAGGATGTCAAATCTATGACAATCATTATTAATAATTACCATTTATAAACATAACTTTTGTTAGCATTGTTTCGAGTACCGATCCCCGACCCTTTTCTCCAATTAAATGTAATTCGTCTACAACAACTAAGCCAATTTCATTTGCACGTCCAGCATCAATTAAACTATCAAGTAAAATTGCACCTTTTTCAATAGATGCTATATATATACTTTTCCTTTTAATGCGCTTCGATGGTGGACACTTTCCTTTGCCAGACGTGTACTCATCAACAATGAAGTTCAGTGCTATAGCAAATGGTGACATTGCGCTTACCTAAATAACCAAAATCATAATTTTTATTTATAAATATTCTAATACAATATTAAATTATTATAAATAATTATTATACATGTTATTTGTGCAACTTACTTTCTCTTGAACAATTGATACATATGGAAGTATAAAGAGAACATTCTTTTCCCGGCATATTATTTCTCTCAACATTAAAATTTCCGCAACTAATGTTTTTCCGCCACTGGTCGGTAAAGCATATATTAAATTTTTTCTTTGCCTTATTGCGGGTAGATTTAAACATTCATCCTGCCATTCTAAACAAACAAATTTATTAAATGATTGAAGTATAATATATACTACTACTCACCATATAAACCCGTGATGGATTTATGCTCGAGTATCATTTTCTTTACACTATCTGGTAAACCATAAAAATTGCCTTTTGATGGTATATCATTTTTTTCTTCAACAAATATTTGTGTTTCCCAGTTTAAATGCGACAAATCCGCAATTTCTTTGTGGGAACTATTTGCACATTGATTTGATTGAATCGTACGATTGCGTATTTCTTCACTTGTCTCATATTGAGAACCTTGAATATCTTCTAGCATTGAAACCGATATCATGGAATCATCGTTGGGCATATTTTTATTCTTTTGATTTGGTATATTTGGTACTTTAAAAGCAACATCTTCCAAGAACTTCTGTGTATTTTGTATTGCAAAGTCGTCAGGCAGCGAATCACTAAATAAATCCTTTTCAGAATCTTGTATATAATCATTTATGTCGATATCTGAAAATATTACGTCGCTGTTGTTGATTCTGTCAGGAAAATCTTGCACTAAAGGCGTACCACCTAAATTACCATTTTCTGATTCAGGTATATTTATATCGCCAAAAAGGCTATCATCTATGCAATTATGTTCAAAATCATTTATGTTACTTTTACGTTCATTAAAAGTCCCAACTTTATTATCAATTAGATTCTCTATCTTGGAATTTGAGAAAAAACTATCATTATCATCGGAATCAGGCCAAAATAATTCCTGGCTATGTCGATCATAACTTTCACTTGTTGAGCTTCGTCTTCGCTTTGTAGTAATTACTTTATTTTCTATATTTTTGCAATTCGTCGTCATTACTGCCCATAAGGTAATAATTTAAATTTCTGAATATTATTTACCCGCAAATTATTTTTCAGCTGATAACTTACTATTGAGCCGCTGTTTTTTTACAGCGGTTAACAAATAAATACACCACACATACATACATACTATAACTAGAATATTGTACATTTTATTTTGTTTGATTTAAAAATTTATGAATCTATTATTACATTATCTTAATTATAGCAATGTTTTTTACGTTCACGATCTTCCATTTTCTTTCTTTGCATTTGTAGCATTTTCTCCTTCATTATTTCATATTCAGTTTTGTGGGATTTATTACGTAGAACTGAATTCTTAGCTGGAACTTCATCAATGTTAGTTTTAAATAAAGAATTAGGAGTTGATTCTGTCCAAGCATTTTTTCCAATTTCTTTTTTTACAGGTACAAACTTTACGTTATTTTCCTCGGCTACAGAAGTCTGATTAGTGTCCTCGCTTTCAGAATCTGTTACCTTGTCGTCAAGAATTTCATCACCATTATCGGTGGACAGATTACTTGCCAATAAATTCATTAACTCTTTATGCCGTCTCTCCAAGTTCTTTTCCCTTTCATTATTCATTTGAATTAAAGTACTTTTTATTGTACTTGCTAGGTGTGTAAAGCCTTCGCGTAGCAACTGTTGGACGTTAATAGCTTCCAACGGTGTGTCGGTCATCAATTCCTCATCTTCACTCATTTGCATCTTTTGTACATCTGTTAAAATTTCTATTATACGCTTGCGTTTGTTTGGTACAGTTTCTAGTTTAAAAGAGAAAAAAAAATTTATAAAGCTGGAAATCACATTTTTTATAATATTAATATTACCTTGTCTACTTTGGTCTCGTCGAGAAGTTTTAGACATTGTCGTTACCCAATTATTTTTCTTATAAAAATATTTTGAATGTATACAAATTTTTGCCTATTGTGCGTTTGTAAACAATTTCTGAAGCATCAATACAGCGGCTACAGAAACAGCTGTTAATATTATTTCATAACCTATAGGGAAATGTTAAAATGTATTGTTTATTAAAGCAAGCAAGGAATTCTTTTAATATTTATTCAAATATAAAACAAATACAACATTTGGGAAATAAATGGTTACATAAAACAAATGGTAAATAAATATAAAATAGAAAAATTTCAATATAATATCACTTATTTTATATAGTACGGTGTCATGGAGAATTTGAATGGCAAGATCCAAAATCTGAAGATGAAGTGTAAGAAATTTTATCAGCTTATTTACATATATTATGTATTCATTAAATTTTTCCTGTATTTATTTAACAGCGTACGAGTCACGTATATTGATAAAGATGGTAAGCGTATCAAAGTTAAAGGAAAAGTAGGAGATAATGTTCTTTACTTAGCTCACAGGCATGGAATCGATATGGAAGGTAAAAATTTTAAAAATTCTACAAAAAAGTACTACTTCATTTCTGAAATCTGTTTTTTTTATTTGTAGTAAAATATTTTGTATTACTGTTCTCTTATTTAAAATTATTTATTGTTACAAAAGTAATTAATTCATTTTAATATGAAGTATTATTTTAAAATCAAACGCATTATTTAATCACATTAAAAATTATAGGAGCATGTGAAGCCTCATTAGCATGTACAACGTGTCATGTTTACGTACATCAGAATTATCAGGACAAACTACCAAATCCTGAAGAAAAAGAAGATGATCTTCTTGACATGGCACCTTTACTGCGTGAAAATTCACGTTTGGGTTGCCAAATTACACTCAGTAAAGAGCTCGATGGAATAGAATTAGAACTACCAAAAGCAACTCGAAACTTTTATGTTGATGGACATAAACCGAAACCTCATTAATTTTAGCTTTGTATTTTGTAAATACAAAAGTCACTTGTAATATCTATGTACAGTAAGTAAAAAATTGTTATATTAATGATTGTAAGATTATAATTGTTAACTAATAAGATTGAGTGATAATAAATTATATTAACAAATTGAAATTTATGATCCTTATTCTTTTGTAAAAAAAACAAAATGTGAACTTCTCATTCCGAACTTAGACCCTGACATATGAATATATCACAAGGTGTATACAGTGACAAACATAATTATTGCTGTTATGCAGTAATTTTTATTAACAAAATTTTTTTAGATAAAATGCTTCATTTGCAATTAAATTTATTTCATTTCATTATATTATCTTTTATATATAATTTCCTGATGAAGACTCTGAGAGGCGAAATATAGAATTAATTAAAAAACAAAGATTTTTAATTTTTACTGAAAAAAAGTGGCCTATAGCTAATTAAAAAATAAGCAAAAAATCATAAAAGGTCGATAAACAAACTCAAAGTTTTATATATATAATTTATTAAAATTAAAAACCCAATAAAGTACTTAAATAGGCTCTATGAATTTATTGGCACACTTAGTTTCCAACGAACAATTATATTTAATATATGTATACATTTATTATTTAAAAATATGATATATAATTTCACAAAGTCCATTTGATGGTATTAAATTGAATAAAATATTTGACAGTGACTCTTAATAGACATTTTTCAGTTTGCCAAGGAATAAAGAGCGTAAGCTGCCGAGCCTGTTTCTAGCTATGATATAGTATAAATATGACCATCTGAGAGGGCTTCAAACCGACACCGTGTCGAAGTTTGCATTTTTCTCAGAGCAAAAGCTGGAACCGAAACGTAAATCAATATGATTTATTTCCGTTCGCCACCACCAGTTCGGTACTAGTTTATTTGCGCGAATTTCTTTACAGTTGTAATTATTTAGTTAACATCTAGTTTTTAATTCTAATTTTGTCTCAAATTATACATAATTTTTTTAAATCGTACCATTTTCAAATACAATGCAATCAACAATTCAAAAAAGTTAATATAAATAAAGTTAAAATAACCGATGACCAAATATTACTGCTCTTTAAAAGAATTAATCAAAACAACTTAGTTTTGACAAAAAGTTTTGAACATAGATTACAAATATTAACTTGAAACTAACTCAAAAAAAATTTTTATAGAGCTGAAAACCAATATCAAACCTATACATTTTTAATTAAACTGCTACGAAAAAAATTCAGACTCAAAAATTAAATTATAATATATACATATTGATAAAGTTGAAATATGTTAGAAATGACATAAAAACATAATTTTTGTTGGATTTTTTTTTATTTGTTTTCAATCTCTTACAAATTATTAAAACTTATAAACAAAAACATTTGCTTCAGAATAAGTAAAAAATAAGAAGAAGTCAACTACAAAATAAAGTTACAATTTACTAAATTTATTATGCTTAAATTAAATTTTTTTTAAAATTAATTTCTGAATGTTTATAGTAATATATTATAATGCGCACAAAAAACAAGTCTTTCCAACAACTTTATGAAACTAACACTTATAGAAAAAAAAATTTATAATTTATATATATATAAGCTGATAAATTAAGTAAGAGTTCTCTTACCTATTTCTGCATAACTGTTTGTCATGTAAATAATAATAACTAAATTAGAAAATTTAAAAACTTGATTCAAATCTTGTAAATATACAATATGAGGAATATTTACTAATTTAAGTAGAATAATTAATTTGTTGAGGGACTATTTGAACGTGAGTCTGAAGAACTTTCTTTTTCTTCATTTTCTATACGTTCGTCACGCTCCTCTTGTTCATCTCCTCCGCGGCTTTCTTCCTTATCTTCTTTAACTTCATTCGACTTTATTTCAATAATCTCTTCTTTAGGTGATACATTTTCACGTTTTTCTCTACCATTTTTCTTGTTACCTTTCTTCAAGCCTGCTACTTCTTTTAATAAGTTAGATACCTTGCGATTAAGATTTTCTACTTTCATTTCGTTTAATCGCTCTTGTTCTTTCATTTTATTACGCATTTCAATTTCCTTTTCAAACATCTTTCCTTTCAACTCTGTCACCTGAAAAGTGAAAGAACATCAATTAAAAAATTATATGTTTAATATTTTAACTAACATACCAGTTTATCTTTTTCCAACAAATCTTTATCTTTAAGCTGTAGGCGTTTTTCAAGACTAGCAATACGCTCCTTAAGATTTGTCATAGCAACTACATGATCAGCTGAGTTAGGATCAATCGATATAACAGCTGGTGTGCCTAATGATCCTAAACCAATAATTGCTCCATTTCCACTTCCACTACTGCCGCCAGAACCTGTGCGTGAAATTTTATCGGGTAAATCCAATCCAGCTGCGCTAACAGCTGATGTACTTCCTTTCGTTAAATCAGCAGAAGTCCGAGATGATTTCTTGGCTGAAGCTGAGGAATTTTCTCTGTGCGATTTTTCGTGAGGTCGTTTCTTTGAAGGTAATCGCCCTTCCTGCTGTGCTTTGAGAAGGGCACGTTTAAATGAGCAGGTACATAGCCAACAGAGCAATTTGCCATTGACCTGTGTAATATACATTAAAAACATAATATTAAATGGTCAGTTTAACAAACATAATTTACAAACTACTATACTACGGTTTAAATTCAACAATTTAAGAACGCAAACATTTACAAAATTATTTTGTCATTCATTACAACACTACATATCCAGACCTTAGTTAATTTTAGATTGATAGGTACATATCTTGAATTAATTTACAATTAAGATATTCAAAGTTTTACAGCAAATTAAATTATGCGAATTTACATATTTATTACTAAAAGCTTATAAAATACAGTTTAAATATTTTTGCGAGGTTTTGGTGGTAGTACATTATTGATTGAATCTGTCGACTTCGCTCGCTAACCTTTTTATTCTCGTCATGTTTATCAAATGCGGATCGTTGTTTGCACTCATCACATTGTACAGGTGGACCGTATTTTACTTCATAGCTAGCACATCTGTTATTGACATCGAACGTTAGTAGGGATTGTTGTGAATAACATATAAGTTGATTTGTGTATTCATTGAATAAATATTATGCAGAAGAAAAGAGAAGAAGAAAATGTTTGCGTTCATAACGTTGAATTTTTTTTAAGGAGTCTTGATTCTTAAGAATCAATAGTACAAAAAAAGAAATATGATTAAAATTGAAGGCACAACATAAGGAATAAAGGGTTTGGAGTTTTATTTATATAATAATACGTTATATTAAAATCGTACCCTTGTGTTATATATATATATAATAATATTTAAGGATGTATTATTCTATTTAGTAATTATATTAAGTCATAATAACATTTAAGAAATACCATTTTCTTAAGTATTAAATTATATATATAAACATATAACAATAACATCTATCAATTTACTAATTCAGCCAAGTATCTATTTATATATTTGTATATCAGATATTTTCATAGGAGCACATATACTTTTCCTCCCATATTAAATGTTTACCCAATTTAAAAAAAAAAGAATATCAAATCACTTTTGACACTTCTAATATGAAACATAGACATTAGTTTGATACTTTCATTAATTATTCTTTTGAAGTGCATTGAACTTACAGTTATAGTCGTTCCCGAACGACTTCTTGCGTTGACAATTTGATACTTGCGGTTTTTGAATTAATTTTGACTTTTGACATGTAAAACAACCCATACCCTCCTTTCTTATCATTGTGCATTCAGTATATCCAAATCAGTTTATAGGATTAAAATATGTCCAGTTTTGAACATTTTATACATACCTCATACACTTAGTACTATTGAAAGCTGCGACAATTTTGCAGCATTCGCATGCAGATGGCTTGCCGTATTTGCTTAAACAATGTTCACACTTTTTGCATGCGCTTTGTGATTTCCTAAATTTCAGCCATCGAAATATACGAAGATAATAATATGAAGTCACATAACAAATAACTGGATATTTCATTTATACTCACATTACGGGCTGAAATTCTGAACGGCAATAAGTACAACATTTAGCGGCCGATGTAACGCGGCAGTTCTGTAAATAGAAATTTAAAATATAACTTGAACTTTACTATTTATTGCATAGCATTGTTTTTTTTCACTCATAGCAAAACCTTTGGCAATGACACAAAATTTGGCAAACTTTTTTGTTTACATTTAATGCGCATTTACAATTATTTTATATCACGTTTTAGCTGTTTGATTTTGTTTATCTTGGAATAAGTTTCTTCAAACACGTGTTAATCTTTGTAACCAAATCATTAATTACGAGGAAATGTATTATTTTTCCCAATTTTAAACTGTATGCTGACACATACCTTGCAAAGTTGTGAACCCGAAGACAATTCTTCAAACGGGTGCCTTGAAAAGCATTTTGAACATGCAAACAAT